GGGGAGCGAGACGGGAGGCGCATGGGTGGGGACGGGGCTGGGGAGGGAAGATGGAGGCTGGTGGTATCAGTTCACTTGAAAAATAGACCACACACCATACCAAACCTTCCCGGCCTACAGGGGTGCCCTTTTTCGTCCTGATGTCGGGGCGTTGTGAAGGTGAAACCAAACCTATGTATCCACTTTCTATTTCCACTCATTCTCAAAAGACGGCAATATCAACTTCACCACTTCCGGCTACTCTTCGTCCACTCTACCTACATATATGTGTCCTCACGAGGCCTGCCGATACCCTCGCCCACAGGCCCCACAACCATCTTTAAGCAAACGCGCATAATATACATACCTCAGGGGTGCCCTTTTTCACCTCCAAAACGCCGCTGAACTAAGACGAAAAAGGGCACCCCCCCCCAAACTCTACGTAGACGTATTCTACTTTCTGTTTATACTCCTTATCAGGGTGACTGCGATATCAACTTCACCCCATACAACTACTCTTTGCCCGATGTTCGCCAATCACTTCATCTTGCACGCTCACGCCGCTTCAATATCAACTTCACCACCTCCAGCTACATGATTGCTCACTGATTCGCAACACACAGCAGGCAAGCGCCCCTCACTTCTTTAAGGATCCCCTTCTTCACCGCCAAAACGCCCCTTAACCGGACGAAAACAGGCACCCCCCCCAAACCAGGGTGGCTGCGATATCAACTTTTCCCCATGAAAGTACTCTTTCCCCGATCTTACCCAATCATTTCATCTTGCACGCCAAGTCTCTGAGTCCATCTGCAGGACCTCAATAACAAACAGCGAGCAAACGCCAGGCTTGCCTCAAGGGCACCCCCTAACCCAGAGGTTGGCTTTCGTCCCCTCACTTAAGATACTGATGTATCTAATCCTTCGCAATCTGCTTTGCAACCACACACTGGCGTTACATTGCGTTTGTTTTCCGTTTTTGACAGCCAAACTACTTTTGCAAATGGAGAGGCTGGCAGATATTATATTCAGTACATTGTGATTCTGGGCCTAAATATTCAACTACAGCGCCCACCAATGACATCCTGTGATGATAATCTTATGTCATCGTTCAAAGAGGCTTCAAAGTGGAACACGTGTGTGCTAGGTGGCTTCTTGAAATTCTGCTGTCTCCTTCTAGCTGCCCAGATCCAAGGTATGGTTTGTCGGAAGTGAACCATACCTTTCACCAGAAGATTTCATACGAAGCTGCATTGCAAGGCTTGGTTTTGTTAAAGAACAATGGGGTCTTGCCGATCGGTGATGGCGCCAATATTGCTGTTGTGGGGCCACACTCAGTTTCACGCAGTGGATTATTCTCAGACTATGCAGCAGGTAGTCACTGCTTTGATGGTACTGATGCTTGTGTACCCACCATTGCAGAGGGAATTGCAGCAGCAAGTCACGGAAAGGTCATCAGCGCGATGGGGGTTGAGATTAATAGTACGAAGACTGATGCAATCCCAGCGGCTCTAGATGCCGTGCGTAAATCGGAGCTTGTAGTTTTGGCTTTGGGCGATGACAAGAGTATTGAAACCGAAGGGAAGGACCGAGTTGATACAGCACTTCCTGGCTTGCAGGAGGTCTTCGCAAAGAAGGTCCTCGCTGAGGGCAAGCCCACTGTGATCGTTCTTGTGAGTGGTGGGCCCATGGCCATAGATGCCTTGCTTGAAACCGCTACAGATGCTCCAGCCGCTGTCGTCCAGGCCTTTTACCCAAGCCACAAAGGTGCCCAGGCACTAGGAATGGCCTTGATGGGTAAGGAAAACCGCTGGGGCAAGTTGCCTATCACCATGTACCCGCACAGCTATATCGCAGAACAGCCCATGACCAACTATGACATGTCAGCCACCCCAGGTCGAACGTACAAGTACTACCAGGGCGAACCGCTTTTCCACTTTGGATATGGTCTTTCCTTAACTACTTTCCAGTTGAATTGCTTTAAGGCTAAGGTACCTCAGACAGGACGATTTCTTTTCAAGTGTCAGCTACGCAACACAGGGAAGTTGGATGGAGAAGAAGTGGTGCAGCTCTACCATTCAGCGGTTGATATAGGCAAGGTTGATCATCCGCTGCCCAAGCGCGCACTTCGAGATTTCAAGCGTATTGCAGTTCCTGCTGGCAAAACTGTGGATGTGGACTTTACTGGCACCTTGGATGTCCTTGGACTCATCAACAAGCAAGGCCAGGAACAGATTTATCCAGGAGAGCATGCTATCATTCTATCTCGGGGGCATGCTGCTTGGCTGCGTAGCGTTCAAGTCTGACATCTCTTGACATTCGAGGGACACGTTGAAAGGCGAAAGGTCGTCAAAAGTCTGTCGAGAATCAAAGATAAGATCAAGATGTCTAAGGTCGAAGATGAGCAGAAGTTCGTGATCAACGTTCAAGGTGAGGAGAGGATCATCATTTAGATTCAGATTTGAAGGCTTCATTGTTCAGAGCAGGCATGTGCTTGATTGGAGCCATCGCCTGTAGGTTTTGTAGGTATGTGACGACCTGTACGTTTCTTGGTTCGCTCGCGTCAAAAGAACTCACCCGTGTGCATCCATAGCGTCATGTAGGAAGCACAAATCAGTTTCACCGAGAAGAATATTCTTCTTTGGTCGGATTGAGGATTCATTGAGCGGACATTTGCAAAGCTTCGAGAGGAATTGCAGGCATTGCGGGCAGACCTGAAGCTT